TTATGCCAGAGTCAGAACTAGGTGTTAGTGACATGAAGATAAACTTGATATGTTTTCTTCTTTTTCCAGAGCATATAACCAAGCAAGACACATCCAAACAAGCAAGTACAGTAAGCATTATGGGGCCATATAAGTCGGGGACAGAAGTGGGACACATTTTACCAGAAGAGAAGCTTGAGCTAAGATATGGAGAACCAAAGGACATCTGGGGAGAAATTTTGAAAGAAATTTGAGAATAATAATATGTATAGAGTTGTGAACAGATGTGGGTATCTGTGAGGAAAGTAATGTAGCATAATGTGGAGAGGAGGGAGGAAATGAAACTGCATAACCAGGAAGAATTTGGGATTAGAGGTGAAGGAATATGATCTTCACCTTGGGTGGATCCTGATGCTCATGGCAAAGCATTCTACTGTGGTTTTGTGGGTTAATTTTCAAAGTTTTCTCTGCTAGGAGAATGTAGGCAGTAAAGAACCAAGACATGGAAATGGACCTGAGTCAGGACACGCCATCATGCTTGCCCATAATTGGGACTGAATAATTGTTTGTTCATGAATGAATGAATGAGTAAATGTAGGTGAAAACAGTTCACCATTGTCATTTTTTGGCACACCATATATATATATATATATAGATAGATAGAGAGAGAGAGAGAGAGATGCTCTATGCTCTGGGGACAGAGAAATCACAGAGTTTCTTTGTTGGTTCAGAGGACTTTAGAGTATTTTTATGGTAGAAACAACTACAACAACAAAAACCATACAAAACAAAAAAAATTGAGAAATTATTCTGACCCCCTACATGCAAGATGAGCCAAAAAAGGATCAGTCCTGAGCACACATTAACTGCTGGCAAAGGAGGACATATCAAAAGCTTGGGGAAGGGACTGGGGAGGGCAGGGTGTGAAGGTCAGACACTCCATTCATGCTGTGCTCCTGGGAAAATGTACCGGCTCTTCACCCTTTCCTGTACTCTCTTGTGGAGCCGACACAATGTCTACTCTCTGGTATTCTCTGAAGGTATTAGCAGAGTTCTTAGACTAGGCTCAATATAAGACATCTAGGGTAGTCTGTTTTTTAGTGCTGTAATGGAATACCTGAGGCTGAGTACTTATTGACCCCATGGGCACAGCAGGGCCTTGACCAGTCTGCTGAAAGCAGACAGCATTGCATAGGTGGCAACATGCATGCGAGGAAAACATCACACATCAGGGCAGAGAGCAAGACCAAGACTGGGGTGCAAAGAAGAAAGTCTCTTTGCTTCCTTTCTGGGCAGCACCTCCTGCCTCATACAAAGAACCAAGATTCCACAACAGGTGTCTTTGGAGGCACACTAATTCTAGAGCCCTAGCAATGGCTTCCATGGTATAATTACTGCTGTGGACATATACCTATCTGTTCATAGAGGAAAAGCACCAAGGGTGTTGCGGAAGCTGGGATGCAATGGGGAAACTGAGTCAGTTCACATCACCTTTTCTGTAAAGATGGCAAGAAGAGAGTGAGGAAGGGAATTCTGGAGTGGGGATTTAAGAGAGAATGACACAAACACAGGATGGTGACATTGCCATTCAGAAAGGAAATGGCTGACAGTGTACCCAGTTCAGGTCTGTCACCCCAGCACTTGGAAAGCCAAGCAGGGATACTGGACTCAAGGCCAGCATGCTCTACCAACGGAACAGCCCCTCCCCCCACAAATGTGACAATTAGAAGTTCAACTTGGCCATTTTCTATCTATTCTCTTTTGCTGTCTTTTTTTTTTTTTTTTTAAATAGGTCTCTCTTTGCAGCCCTGGCTTTGCTGTCCTGGAACTCACTCTATAGATCAGACTGGTCTCAGACTCACAGAGATCCTCTTGCCTCTTCCTCCTGACTGCTGGGATTAAAGGTATGTGCCACCCTGGCTTCTCTTTTCTTTTTTTGAGACAGGCAGGGTCTCATGTAGCCCAGGTTGGCCTGGAACTTAATATGTAGCTAGTTGAAATGAACTTGAACTCCATTTCCTTTCCATCACTATGAGTGGAATCACTTAACTTCTCTATAGTCAGCATCGAAACAAAGCCTGACAGCCATTGATTAAGTTTTTAAACTTTCTTAGTCTCAAAAGATGCTATTTTTAATTATTTCCTATTAAAAATATAATGTTTCTTTTCCTACTGGTTTAAAAAAAATAGTATAGATGGTGCTGGGGATGTTTCTCAGAAGAAAGAGTTCTTGCCCAGCATGCAGGAAGCCTTGGGCTCAGTCTCCAGCAGCACATAGACTAAGCATGGTGGTGCACACTGGAGGCGGGAGGGGCAAATTCCACATCGTCCTCTGCTACAAGGCCAGTTTGAGGCCAGCTTTGAGAAACTTGAGACCTTGTCTCAGAACATACAACAACCACAAAAATAAAGTAAAAAGAAGGAAAGAACATGTGTCCTTCCCGAATCTCATTCCCAAGAAGAATCCATGGCTTAGCAGTGTAGTGATAATTTTATGATGTTGTTTGCAACCTGCTCTAAATGAAAAAATCAGCATTCAGAGGACATTTACTGTATTTAAAGTGGCCATCACTCATTCACTTAAAAAGGTTTTTCTGGTTGGCTGGTTGGATGCAGTAAGGATTGCCATGAGTTTGAGGTTTGCAAGGGGTAGTGCAAGACCCTGTCTCAAAAAGCCAAAGAAGAAAAAGATTTCTTTTACTTTATGCATATGAAATGTAAAGGGAATTCATTTTCCCCTGTAGATCTATGATTTCTGCTACCACGATTGTTTCAGATTCAAACAATACATGTATTTAAAGATTGTGCATCATAGCATGTGCTCCTGAATCCACACACTGTTTTACAGTTTCCTTTGCTGTCTTGGAAATGGCCATGCGGGTTCTCTTCAACTCTTCTGCTCATTGGCCACTTCGTGAGTCTATCATAGAACTATCTCTCTGGGCTCTGAAGGGTGGGTAGTTAATCTGCTTTTCATTATAGCTGAGAGTTTTGTAGTCACCTTTGCACACATATATGATGATGTCTGAGAGAGATACTGCTGAGTGGAAGGGAAATTCAGAATCATGTGAATAGAGAAATTAAATCTTGGGCTGCCATCCTGCAGCCTCCTCTCATTTTTATCAGAGGCCTCATTTAGAGGGTCTGTATAGGAGCCATTTCCTTCCTTCCTTCCTTCCTTCCTTCCTTCCTTCCTTCCTTCCTTCCTTCCTTCCTTCCTTCCTTCCTTCCTTACTTCCTTTCTTTCTTTCTTTCTTTCTTTCTTTCTTTCTTTTTCAAGACAGGGTTTCTCTGTGTAGCCTTGGCTGTCCTGGAACTCACTCTGTAGACCAGGCTGGCCACGATCTCACTGAGATCCGCCTTTGCCTCCCAAGTGCTAGGAGTAAAGGCTTGTGCCACCACCCAGCAAGGGGCCATTTTTCAAAGAACTCTCTCTGACAGTTAAGCTAAAGAAAATGTCAGGTGGGAAGATGGCTCAGTGGTAAAAATGCTTGCCCCACGGCCTGACACTCTGTGTTCGATCCCATCCACCTTAGCGGTACTGTGCACCCGTACCAGCCAGCACTCCTACTGTGGGAGGCAGAGATAGACTCAGCTGAAGCCCTGGGTGACCAAGCCTGGAGCGAGCAGTGCGGAGACTGCCTCAGCAGGCTGATAGGAGACTGACCTCCACGCATGCGCCACACACGTTTGTGTAACCCAGGGTTTATCAATTCTGCTTAGAACTGGAATCTGAACTGTTTCAGGCTATTCTGACCTGTTCTGTGTGGTCACACCAAAATGTACCGCTCAGCTGTTAAGAGTACTGGTTGCTCTTCAAGAGGACTCGGGTTTGTTTCCCAGCACTCACATGTCGAGCCCATCTGTTTATAACTTGCAGGTCCAGGGGATCTAACATCCTTCCTGACTTCTGTAGACACCAGGCATGCATGTGGTGCACAGACATACACAAAACTTAAAAAAAAAAAAGATATCCACATATATGCATAATCGTTGAAATGTGTTCAGGTTGAAAACATATTTTAAAAGGAGAAATAGTAATCACACAGATATACATGCAGGTAAAACACCAATGAACATAAAATAAAGATAAATAAATTGTTTTTTTAAAAAGAGAAATAGTAATCAAATAGGCATCGCAACCCATTGGTTTCAGAGACATTCTGCTTCCCTGTGGGCATGGTTTCCCTTGGCTTCCAGCCTCTCACACTTGTTGCTGGAAGGTGACTGTCTCTGAAGCTAATTTGAAAAGCAAATGGACTGTTTGCCTTTTCCAAACCCTTGTTTTTTGTTTTTTATTTTTGTTTGTTTGTTTGTTTTTTGGTTTTTCGAGACAGGGTTTCTTTGTGTAGTTTTGCGCCTTTCCTGGAACTCGCTTTGTAGACCAGGCTGGCCTCGAACTCACGAAGATCCGCCTGCCTCTGCCTCCCAAATCCTGGGATTTCGGCCTGCCTCTGTCGGCGTGCGCCACCACCGCCCGCCCAAACCCTTGCTTTTTAAAAGTGTTCCTTAATGCCTTCTAAATTTGTTCTACAGTATTTCAGAGTTTTAGGTTAGGTTTCCGAGAAATGGAAACGCATTAAACTCCCTAGTTCCCTGACATGGTGTAAAATTAGGTCACGGATGGTGTCTTTTGGAAGCAAAGCTTCCTCCTGAAAGCCTGATCTTAGCGAGGGTAGGCCCGCAGGCGCTGGGGACGCAGCTCGGGCGGTCCTCGGATCATCCCTGCTTGACACCAGCACCTGGGGTCCCGCAAGGCGGCGGGAGGAGACCCGCACCGGGGTCTCTACCCTGAGGACAAAGGGTGCATCTGGGATCCGTGCTGCAGCCTGCTGTTAAGGTTTCCGCTGCTCCAGGTCCCAGCCGGATTGCTCACCACGTGGGCGCCACTGGGAGGCGGGTCAGGGACACTCGGGCAACTCCTCCCCTGCCGCCCAATGGACAATGGCTTTGCTTCGGGACCCGCGCTGATTGGCCGCGTCAGACCCGCCCCTCCCTGGATATAAACTCGAAGCTCGGAAAGACTCCAGTTGGTTTCATACTTGGCAAAGTCCTGCTCTTCCCGGCGCCAACATGCAAAAGAACGTCTCCCCGAGCGGCTACCTGCCCAGCTTCCAGCACTTTGCCACTCAGGCCATTCACGTGGGACAGGAGCCCGAGCAGTGGAATTCACGCGCCCTGGTGATACCCATCTCGCTGGCCACCACTTTCAAGCAGGACACGCCAGGCCAGTCCTCGGTGAGCGGCAGGGCGGGCAGGGCGAGCCGGGAGGCCCGGCGGACTGCCGGAGCGCTCAGGACACGTGGGTGGTCTCGGCGATTTTCAGTTAAAAATCAGAGTTGTAATTTGGTGAATTCTGTAGCAACGAAGCCAGTCCCCCTTTGAAAAATGAAGAGCCTTGGGCTGGTGAGACGGCTCAGCAGGTGTGCTGTCTAGTTTTATATCAACTTGACGCATAATCATCTGAGAGGAGGGTACCTCAACTGAGAAAGAGAAGATTAGGCTGTGTTGATTAGGCTGTAAGCAGACCCGTAGGGCATTTTCTTAATTAGTAATCAACGGGGGAGGGCCCAGTCCATTGTGAGTGGGGGACCCTCCCTACCCCCAAGCTGGTGATTCTGAGTTCTATAAGAAGATGGGGGGAGCAAGTCAGTGAGCAGCACTTCTCCATGGCACTTGCATCAGCTCTTACCTCCAGGTTCCTGCCCTGTCTGCTTTCCATGATAAACCAGGTACATGGAAGTGAAAGAAACCGTTCTTCCCCCAAATGGCTTTTGTTTGTGGTGTTTTATCACAGCAGGTAAAGGAGCTCGTCACCAGACCTGACCATCCTAGTTCAGTTCTATAATCTCTGTGGTGGAAGGAGAGAACCAGCACCTGCACACTCAAACACACACACTAAATAATGAAAGTCCTAGAGATTTAAGATCACTTCTGATAAGTGTATCCAGTTAATAGCTACTGAATACTTACACACCAAATGCATGGTTAGAGTCTATGTGTTACATGTAGTCTCATCCATTGTTAACTTAGCCTGAACTAAGGTCTTAGTGTTCAGACTGAGATAGAGGAGATAGAGGATTACCAGCACTAGAGTAACCTAGGGTCACCAAGGCTCGTGCGCAATGAAGCTGGCTTTAATTTATCTTGAACCCCCATCTTCTGCATGGTGCTACATTGTAGCTGTGATAAGTAATAGTTTAAGCCATTTCATCATCTGAGACAGTGGTTCTCAACCCATGGGTCATGGTGATCCTTTCACAGGGGTCTCATCAGGTATTTACATTGCAATTCATTAACAGTAGCAAAATTGAAGCTATGATAGAGCAGCAAATATAATTTAGTGGTTGGGGGTCACCACAACAAGTTGAGAACCACTGATCTATCCAGTGTGGCTTTGTGATTAAGAGTACAGGGGGTTTGATTCTTACATCAGCTCTTCTGTCTGGGTAACCTGGAAGACGCTATTTAACCTATCCTAGCCTTGAGCTGACCCTGTGTAAACTGGGATAATTATAGAACACACCACATGAGCTGCTGCTGTTAAAAACTCTGTGGTACACATTCATTACTCAGAAGTACTTTGGTGTTTGCAGTCTTCATGCCTTGCTATTTCCATTTGACTACAACAGCCAGGTGAGGGGGGTAGGCATTAAATCGTTTTTATAGAAAAGGAAACTGACCCAGACTCAAACACAAGTGACCAGTAAGGCCTAAAATATGCAGTCTTGTGAATCTGGTGGCATCCTCCTTTTTGATGGCTTACTAGATGGGTCTTGGTATATTAAAAGTCTCCTGAGGTGCAGAGGACAACGCAATTGCAGCATGTTCCCAGGTCTTGACTGTTCTGGAAACTACCTTTGTGTGCTGTAAGTCAGGTAAAGTTCTTATAAACAGCCCTTGTTCTGTGAGGCAAAGTTCCAAGGGCATCACTATAGCAGGTTAGGATACTCCTAACTGGTGACTTGCATTCAAAACTCAAACACTACCTCCTCCAAGCAAGTGGTGGGGCCCTCCTATGTAGGCCTGCTGCCTGTGTGGAACAGTGTGTAGAAACTGAGTGTTTGGGTATGGTATTAATGTTTAAATGGTTCAGAGAGCAAGCAGGGGCAGTTAAATCCAGTATGTGCTCAGAATCTCCAAAAGATAATGGCACTGTAGCAATGAGAAGTATCAGAAATCTTTAGTTCCATTTGAAAAGCCATGGAATGCACAAAGTAATTTGCCAACAAAATAAGTTCTCCTACCCCGGATGTTAGACATCTGCATGCTTATGAATATTTATGGCAGCATGGGGCTGCTCTAGGAACCAAGTGTTTTGGAGGAGGTTTGATGAGTTTAGCAGCCAGGGACAGTGGTGGGTGTTGAAGACAGCTGGAGCCCTGTGAACTAAGTGTGCCCGGTTTATCTATCAGGGGAAAACTTTTAAAGTTATTATAACTAATACTAGAAGCTTCCGAGTCTGAAACAAGGGTGCAAGTTGTGATGTGCTGTATAAACCACGGAGACAAAAGTGTAGGATGTTTTTAATTATTTGAGACAGTCTGTCTTTAAGTAGCCCAGGCTGGCCTTCAACTCATGAATCAGACTTTGCCTTTACTGGGATTGCAGATGTGTGCAATCACACCAGCTCAGAGCCTAGGATTGATTCTAACCCTCACATTCCCCAGGTCTTACAACATTTGGCTTCACTTTTCTTCAAGTATTTAGTCACAAGGCTAAATAAATTATTAGGTGAAAATTAAGTATAAAGGGAGTCTGACACAAGATTTTATAAAGCAACTCATGGAGGATGTTCATTGAAAATTGCTTCCTCCTTTTGTGTTGAGTCATTTTTATAGGGTTAAGATCTGAACCCTGAGAACTTGAATGACTCGTTCAGCCCTCTTGTGTGCTAAATGAACCTGCATCATTTCTATCTTGGGAAGAGAAGCACAGGTTAGATTCATGTAATTCCCTTTTCCTAATACGTCCATCTTATAAGGAAAGGGTGAGGCTAACATAATTGCAACACCATGCCAATGTTAAGAACTGCCACCTAGACTGATGGAGGCAGATACAGAGATCCATGGCCAGACACCAGGCTGAGCTCTGGGAATCCAATTGATGAGAGAGAGGAGAGATACTGCAGGCGAGGGACATCGAGATCATGATGGGAGGACATACAGAGATGACCGGCCACACTAGTGGAAACCCATGAACTGTGGACTGGTGGCTGTGGAGGCCCCGTGGGACTGGACTAGGCCCTCTGGATATGGAAGACGGTTGTTTGACTTGAACTGTTTGGGGGGCACCCAGGCAGGGGGATCGGGATATGTCCCTGGTGTATGGGCAGGCTTCTGGAACCCGGTGCCTGTGGTGTGACACCTTGCACAGCCTTGGTGCAATGGGAAGGGGCTTGGACCTGCCTAGGCTCAGTGTGCTGGGCTCTGCTGACTCCCCATGGGAGACCTCAATTTGGGGGATGTGGAGATGTGGGGTGGCTTGGGAAAGAGGGCTGGGGGATGGGAGGAGGTAGGAGGGGCGATCTGTGGATAGTATGTGGAGTGAGTAGAAAATTTCTTAAAGAAAAATTAAAAAAAAAAAAAAGAACTGCCATCTATATAGTGGTTAGTACATGTTGAGGAACATACAGGGAATTTATGCCTTACTCCATTTCATCCTCACAATTTTGCAATTAGACCTGTATTTTTCCCCCATCTTCAAATTGACTGTTAGAATGTTGAGTCCTTTACCTAGTAGTACCAAGCTAGTAAATGGCAGGAACATCATTCCAGCTCATGGTAAGTACATCATTCTTACTCATTTTTATTTTATGTGTAGAGGTGTTTTGTCTGCATGTGTTTCTATTTACCACCTGCATGCAGTGCCTGTGGAGGCCAGAAGAAGGCATCATATCCATTGAAACAGGTGATCCAGACCTAGTGAGCTGACATGTGGGTTCTTGGAATTGAACCTAGGTCCTCTGAAAGAGTAGTAAGCATCCTTAACCTCTTAGCCATCTCTCCAGTTCCCCTTTTGGTCATCCTTTAAGCTCTCCATACTGCCATAGCCATGACAATGCCACACTTACGTCTTATATCAAAATGTGCCATTGCTAGGTAATAGAAAATCATTATGGTGGGACCATGTTTTCATTGGGGTCTGATACTAATCAAGAGATCTTAAGATGATGAATAAATCCTCTTCGTCCTCCTCCTCTTCTTATTTTCAGGGTTTTGTATATGGCCGCTCTGGAAATCCCACAAGGAACTGCTTGGAAAAAGCAGTGGCCGCTCTGGACGGGGCAAAACACAGTAAGAGACTCATATCTACAATGAAAGGTGGATTCTCTTTAGGTGTCTAGGGACCACAGAAGCACAGAAGGTATAAATAGAGGTCCTCTCATTCCAAACTCCCTTTTTCCTGAAACAGTGAATCCTTTGGCTTTATTCTTCAGTTGGTATATGCATGTATGTCCTTACCAGTTAGCAGTAAATAGGAACAGAGCAGAATGGCAGAGCTTATTACAGCCCTCATCTCAGTCTATCACTACGGCTCATTCACCAGACCCAAAATCCTTGATAATATGTTCTCAGAGGGAAGGAATTCACTCCCCAGAAAAGGTCCTAGGAATGAGTTCTGTTGAAGTCATATTTGTATTTTCAATATAAATGATGCTATATGAGCAGAGTAGTAAAGAATAAATATCTATCGTGTGTGTGTGTGTGTGTGTGTGTGTGTGTGTGTGTGTGTGTGCTTGTGTGCATAAATACATAGTGTTCTAAAAGTTTCATTTTTCAAACAGAAAGGGGTGTTGTAACATTAATTAGAGGACCTCTGAGGAGTAGCAGCAGTGGCACAGTCAGCCAGGGGAATCACGGTGCAGATGGCACTAGGTTGTTGCTAAGGTTTTGTTTTTTTTGGTTTTTGGGTTTTTTGTTTGTTGTTTGTTTGTTTTTTAAGCTTACTTGAATTTGCTTTTTATGGTAGGTTTGGCCTTTGCTTCAGGGCTAGCTGCCACCACTACAATTACCCATCTGTTAAAAGCTGGAGATGAAGTCATTTGCATGGATGAAGTGTATGGAGGTAGGTGCCCTCTCATTCACAGTGTGTGCCAGCTGGTACAAAGATAGCAATGAGCCTTGAGTTACATGAGCACCATTGCCAGTTTTGGCGAGTATGTTCTTTCTAAGGTATAGCAGGCATGGGTTTCAGACTCTGTCCCAGAAGTGCCTGTAGGAGATTGTCTAATAAGAATTGTGCGTAAGAGTTAGAACAAGGATATAGGACTTGATCAGCCTTCAGGCACACCACAGCTTTCTGAATGCACAACACACACACACACACACACACACACACTCACACACACTGTACCAGGCATGCTGAGATACCACATGGTGCCAATGAACACCATAGAACGATTTCTGAGAGTTAGTTCTCTCCTTCCACCATGTAAGTCCTGATATCAAGCTCAGGTTGCCATTCTTGGTGGCCAGAGTCTTTAACCTGTGTGTCTCACTAATGATGCTTTTAGACTTGAGTACTATGAAGAAACTGCTAACAGTCACTCGTGCCTGTGAGCCTAGCACTCAGGAGGCTAAGCAGAAGTGCCATGAATTGGCCAGCTTGAGTTTGATGTCAACTGGGCTACAGGGAGACTCTGTCCTTTTTAATACATTTTTTAAGAATTATAATATAATTACATCATTTTCCTTTTCCTCCCTTCAAGTTTCCCCATGCACACACACAACCCTCCATATGCACTCTCTTTTTCTTTGATTATTGTTACATATATACACATGTATATCTGTATGTGTATATGTATTCCTAAATACATAAATACAACTTTCTATAATATTTCTATATAATGTTACCTGTATGTTTATGATTTCAGATTATTGGATAACCAGCTAGGGGGCTCTTCTCCAGGGAAGACCTTTTCTCCCACTCTCAGCATTTCCAGTTGTCTGTAGTTCTTTGTCTAAGGCTTCATGGGTTTTCCCTTCCTATGTTAACATGTCCATTGGTTTCATTGTTCTTCAGGTCTTGGTTAGGTAGCTATGTTGATGAAATTTCAGGAGTTTAGCCTCTCAACATTTCCAGGAAGCACAATCTCACAAGAAGCCTTCTGTTCCTCTGGCTCTTACTATCCGCACCCTTCTGTAATGATTCCTGAGCCTTGAGTGCAAGAATTGTGTTGTAGATATATCAGTTGGGACCGTTGGCACCAAGTCCCTGTCCGAAACATACAGCTTGTATGTGCAGAGATTTCTACAGAAGACTGTAGCTGGAGTTTTCTCCAGTCCTGCTCGGGCCCGCAGCCGCTCAGACCCAAGTAAACACACAGAGACTTATATTACTTATAAATTGTATGGCCATGGCAGGCTTCTTGCTATCTAGTTCTTATATCTTAAATTAACCCATTTCTATTCATCTATAAGTTGCCATGTGGCTTGTGGCTTACCGGTACTTTACGTCTTACTTCTCATGGTGGCAGTAGCTGGCAGCATCTCCTGATTCGGCCTTCCACTTCCCAGAATTCTCCTCTCTGCTTATCCTGCCTATACTATACTTCCTGCCTGGCTACTGGCCAATCAGTGTTTTATTTATCAATCAATCACAGCAACACATTCACAGCATACAAAAAGACATGCCCAGCAGAAGACACTGTGTCAGGAAGCTGCTCCATGTTAAAAGAATAGAGAAAGGGGAGTTTGAGAAATGGTTCTGCTTCTTGCCACTTGTGTGTATCAAATATGTTTTAATTGGCTCTGTGGCATGTCAAATAACCATGCTACTTAGCTACACTTGCTTTCAGCTGATTTTTTTTTTGAGGGTTCTCCTTTGGGATTGGGGAAGCTTGCAAAGAGCAGGCATTTCCTCACATTGTGTTCTCTGCATATTATTTGACTGTCTTCTGCCTCAGGCACCAACAGGTACTTCAGGAGAGTGGCATCTGAATTTGGACTGAAGGTTTCTTTTGTGGAGTGTTCCAATACCAAATTGCTAGAGGCAGCGATTACACCACGAACCAAGGTAACCAGCTGGCTTTTGATTCTGTCTGTTTTCCCTGTGATGTTTTACTTACATCCTTTCTGTTTACTAGAGGATGTAATATAAATCCAAATAACATTTTATTGAAGCTGTTGGAAACACTGAGATTTATATAGGCTAGAGTCTCCATGGCTTGAAAACATTATCTAGGGTGCACATGCAAATTCTGAAGTGGAATTTCAATTGGGCCTTGAGGTAGGTGGGAAGAAAAGAGTATTAGACAAAAAATGCCACAATATATTAAAAACCACATAGCAGGGCCTTGAAAGGAAGGAAGGAAGGACTTCCGTTTAAAATTTGGAGGAGGGCTGGGCTGGAAAAATGTTTCAGTGGCTAAGAGTATGTGCTGCTCTTGCCAGGGGACCTGAATTTGGTTCCCAGCATCTACATTGGGTGGCCCATAACTGAGCTCCAAGGGATTTGATGCCTCTGTCCTCCATAGGCACCTGCACTTTCATGTATAGACCTACACATGTTCACATGAGAATGAGAGGGGGAGAGGCAGAGAAAGACACACAGGCATAGATGACTGCCATGAGAGGGATGGTGGGGGAAGCCAGGGGAGCCTCTTTGAAGTAAATCCCCACAGTAGTCCCAAGAACAAAGGAAATACCAGACTTTTGTAAGTTTGGTGGGGTTTTTAGGAAGTTTCATATCATGTGATTTTAGTTCAATGTTGTATATACAACAAAGAACATGAATGAATCAAGTCCCATAAATTAGGGACCACTGTTAGCCACAGCACAACCTGCTTCTTAATTCTGTCCCAGAGAGAGTTGTAGAGAGGCATGGCCTTTTAAAAGTAACCCCTGTCCTTTAGGGGCAGGTCAGTGTTCTAACAATAAGTTTAATTTTGTGTGTGTGTGCATTGTATTAGAAGCTAGTGTGGATTTAATCTCTCAGCTCCACCCATTTTTTTTTTTGTAAAAAATTTAAATTCAAAAGTACATAGTTCTCAGACATACCAAGCTATCAAAGCATAACATCATTCAAAGACCATTAGACCCTCTCAGTCCAGGGACTTTGATCTCAGCCCTGGGAAGCTTGTGTGCTGTGGAAGGTATTTGTGCCTGAATAGCAGAGATGGTATTTGGGGACCTCATTTAAATTCTGCAGGAGTGAAAGGCCAGTGTCTTTAATGAGTGAACCTTTCTAACTCTGTTAAGGATTAAAGTGTTAAACTTGTACCCAAGCTCATATGGCAGTGAATGCTAAAAGATAGAAATCCTTCACACAAAGGAGCCTAGATTCAAGCTCATGTGGCAGTGAATGCTAAAAGATAGAGGTCCTTCACACAAAGGAGACTTTCTAGATTAGCACTGGAGCACCTTTTACTCAGTAAGGTTTGTTTTCAAGAAAGTTGCATTTTTATATTGCTTGAGGAAAAAGAATTTATTTAAATAGCTGATCTGAGACTTCCCAAGGGAAGAAATCAGATCATGAGTATGATAAATTTTGTCCATATTATTTTATTTGCTGGCCCTTTAATTTGCTTGAATTAATATATTTTCCCCTGAAGTACAGGCTCTGCTTTTGAATATAGATAGATAGATAGATAGATAGATAGATAGATAGAAAGAAAGATAGATAGATATAAAATGTGTGTATGAGTGTTTTGTTTTCATGCACAAATGTGCACCATGTGTATGTTTACTACCTGTGGAGGGCATTGGCTCCCTTAGAACTGGAATTACAGATGGTTGGGAGCCACCATGTGGGTGCTGGGATTCAAACACTGGTCTTCTCATGAACAAATGATCTTAATTACTGAGTCATCTCTCCAGCTCCGGTAGTCAGTTTTTAAAGTCCATATAAAACCCATTTTGTACTTAGTTACTTGTTTTCATTTTTGTTTATTTTTAAATTATCTTGATGAAAATTTGTTATTCTTACCCAGGAGTCATTTTTATAGCTCTTTAAGCAAATTAAGATTTTCAAAGTAGTTTTTAGTAGTGAACTTCCAGACAGGGAATGTATTTAACTTGACATTTTGTCTGTCTATATAGGTAATGAAAAGTCATTTGTTCTTATAAGAGAAACCTGTAAGTAATACAGTTCAAAGCAGATGCACCTTATTTAACAGAGTTCTGACTTGGTCTTTTCAGTAACTGTTGAGCGTGCAAGTCATGACAGGGTTGTAGTAGATCAGAGTTCTGCCATGGAACCTCGCTTTCTATATGGCTGCCACTTCTTTTCCTCAGCCTAATGCACTTTCTCAAGTTTAGAGTTTCTAGTGCTTTTGTTGTTATCTAACTCTGAGGATGTCCTTGGCATCCTGGGCATAATTCTCATTAATGAAAATTCTAGGATGTGTAGAGTAGAGTTGCTTATATTCCAGACTCTCTGTGTAGCTGACTGTAACCTTGGACTTGTGATCTGTCTGCCTCTGTTACTTGAATGCTGGGAATATAGGCATAACCCCTAAACCCCCAAATTGCTGGTTTATGAAGTGCTAGGGATTGATCTCAGGCTTGCTTCATGTACACTAGGCAAGATCTTTACTGAGCTACTTCCCCAGAGTGAGGATATATTTTTATACAATCTATATTATTTGTCTATGAGAACAGAAGCTCCAGACACCATGGCTTTGTTCTGTAAGATAAATATTACCAACCATTTTGTGCAGATGAGGAACTTGAGGAAGATAGAAGGGAATTTAATGGAGCAATGGCCAATCTTGTAGGGAAAGGTCAGATTCAAACTTGACCATTCCACCTTCATTGTCTAAGCCTTTCCAGCATAGGAAGTAGCAGCCTTCTATGTTGTGGATTGTGTGATATTTGTGTATATGTGATATGCTTTTACTTACTGTTGTTTGCTAAATTACTGTAGCTTGTTTGGATTGAAACACCCACAAACCCATCCTTGAAGTTGACTGACATCGAAGCCTGTGCACACATCGTCCATAAGCATGGAGACATCATTTTGGTTGTAGATAACACTTTCATGTCTCCATATTTCCAGGTAAATGAAGGGAAGGGTTTCTGTTGTGATTAACAAACCACACAGTTACCTGTAATTAGGAAAGGAAGAACTACTTTATAAAAAAAAATCATTATCAAACTCAAAATAGCTATATATCAAAATATAACTATTATTGATTAGAAAAATAATAAGATTTGGACTTTTTTTGCATTAGTTAATATCTCAAGACTGTGTTACTATCTCATTGGAGGTTTTTTTGGCAACAGTGGGCCACAAGATAGGAGTAAACACATTTGCCAGGCCATAATTGATAAGAATAGACACTATGGTAATTCTCAGAGAGTCTATGCCTCTGAGGGTCCTTTATAGCAGTTAAGAGAAGTTACTTGGCCTTCCTTGCCTCTTTGGCCATTTGGGGGAAGTCCTATCTGAATAGATAAGAGAATGTGAGACAGTAAATTTGTAACAATGACCCTTCCTTGGTCATGTGGGGTGAGGCACCAGGAGCCTTTAGGAGTTGGGATCTAGAGGTTTGTTTCTACGCATTTGGTTTCTGAGCACTTAAAGCTGGTGGTTAGAGACTGGGCTTTTGCTTTTTATTTTAGCCCTTCTGGTCTCCACATAGGCCTGTGATTTTAGACTACCACCCAGGCAGCACTTCCTGATCTCTTAGGTTATGTAGAGCATGTGAAGACATAGCTTTTAGGTAGTTGTATCTCTGATATGTTCCATATTTTGACTGAGTGTTGGTTATCAGTCCATGTTAAATAAGGAATTTCTACTTCATCTGTTTTATGTTATGACAGAATTCTTAGCATGTTCGGCTGCTGTAGCATGGTACTGTAACCTGGGTGAATTCAGAATAGGACTTTGCTTCTTATAGATCTAAGGCCCACAAGTCCAACATTGAGGTATCTTGGAGGGCCAAGTCTGTGTTCTCATGGGAGAAGAATCCAGGCAGCTCTCTGGGACTATAATGCGGCTCTGATCCTGTCACAGTGGGTCTGTCGTCAGGAGCTCATCACCTCCCAGAGTCCTGACTCTTAATGCCATGGCCTGGTCATTAAGCTACAACATGTGAAGTGGGGGACACAGACATTCCACCCACAGCCATGGGTGTTTTAAGTTAGTTTGAGCTACCTAGAGAGACTTTATTTGAAGAAAACAAAACCTATATATGTATGTGTTTTAAAGATGTAAGGTTGATTAATTGGCAGCAACATTAGAGCAGGAAAATAATCTCAACAAATTTCCGTTTGGAAACTGTTTTTATTCATACCTGTATGTGTCTGTACTGTAGTGTGGAGGTGGAGGTCAAAGGACAACTTTGCAGATTTGGTTCTCTCCTTCAATCTTTAGGTTCCAGGGATTGGACTCAGGTCATGCTGAGCCTTGTCTTCTGCTTCAGCAGACTTCTTTGTGATTTTATACCTGACAAAACTAGTATAATAAAAGAGTGATTAGGAGTCAGGAACTCAGCAAACCAAGTGTTAACAATCACCTTGTACCTTGTAAGGTTTTAATGATTAAAAATCTAAGCAAAGTACTTTGTACTGACTTGGCAGAAAAATTGCTAGATGCTTCCATATCATAAACTTCTCCATGTACTTAACGGCTCATAAAATGCACATATCTCTGCTGCAGACAGTAAACTCAGAGCCATAACCACTGGAAAGAAAGGCAAGGGGAGGTTTGGCCTGGGTCTGCTTTTGTTTCGATGCAACTCGCACCTTCAGAGTCTGAGCCCAGTCTGTTTTTGGTTAGTTTGTTTTTGTTTTCTTTTGGATGCTTCTTTGGTAGAAGAAAATGTAGGGACAAACTCAAGATCTTAGAAAAACTGAAAATGTGTGGATTCTCACACAGCAGGGCAGAGAAGGATTCAACTGGGATCTGAGGCAACAGATGCAAGTGGATAGGATGGGGCATTTCACATGGTTTCTCATTTGAAGTAAACATGTCTGTTTTTTTCTTTCAGCGACCTTTGGCTCTGGGTGCTGATATTTGTATGTGTTCTGCCACAAAATACATGAATGGTAAGATAAGTATAGCCTGAATCCTTTTTTTTTTTCTTCAGGTTTAATGTGGTGGTATTGTGTTTCCCAAAATATTGTGCAGATAAACTTATTTGGGGTCAGAGACAGAACAGCCACAATATTAAACATAGAGGATAGGCAGTGGTAGCACACGCCTTTAATCCTAGCACTCCAGAGGCAGAAATCTCTCTGGATCTCTGTGATTTCAAGGTCACATTGGAAACAGCCAGGCATGATGAATCACGCCTTTAATCCCAAGAAGTGAGCCTTTAATCCCAGGGAGTGGTGGTAGAAAGCAGAAAGTTATATAAGGCATGAGGACCAGAAACTAGAAGCATTTGGCTGGTTAAGCTTTCAGGCTTTTGAGCAGCACAGTTCAGCTGAGATCCATTTGGATGAGGATTAAGAAGCTTCCAGTCTGAGGAAACAGCATCAGCTAAGGAACTGGTGAGGTGAGGTAGCTGTGGCTTGTTCTGCTTCTCTGATCTTCCAGCATTCACCCCAATAACTGGCCTCAGGTTTGATTTTATTCATAAGAACTTTAAAGATTCATGCTACAGTTTTTGTTTTTTTTTGAGACAGGGTTTCTCTGTGTAACAGCCAAGGCTGTTCTGGAACTCACTCTTTTTTTTTTTTTTTTTTTTTTTTATTTTATTTTACAATACCATTCAGTTCTACA